GGTTGAGTATGATCGTCCGGGTGAACGTAGTCCTGAATAGGGCTTTTGTTGTTGACGGTGACTGAGTGTCCGTATTAAGCGGGATGAAGTTAGGAAAATGAAGGCCTTTCTTCCCCCAGGGACAAAGCTTACTGTTCGTAATAGTGAGGTGTCCATATTAAGCGGGTGTCCGTAAAGCGGGTTTTCACTGTAAAGGATTCAACTAGGGAGTTTATTGTTACATATAAGCAGTGTTTTGTATACAGTCTCTAGTTAATATTAGTTTTTAGTTTGGCCACTAAATCCAAAGTCACGCGAGGTTTGGCCACTCTACTCCATCTGCCGGCCGTCCTGTAAGTAAGTCCTATAAGTCACGTGCTTTCTTGTGTTTTTAAGGCTCCGCTGTAGACTTGTCAGATGTCATGTCAGTTGTGGATCCACTGACCAAAGTTGAAGCTGGTCTTAAGGGGACTGGGGATAAGCCTCTTCCGCTCCAGTCAGTTCACATCAGAGCCAAGCTCTTGGATCTTGCTGCTCAGGTCAGCTTTTAATCGAGCTGTTAATTCTCCTGATATAGTATCGAGTACTCATTGCTTACTTAAAAGTCCTGCCTTTGGAATGGCTAAGGTAGCAAGCTTGATGACTGGACTGCGCGTCTAAGGATAGCACGAGTATGAAACTGTCACAACTGGTCGTCATCCATGAGATAAGCGATCTTTTTGCATAGCCATCCCCGTGAGCAGCAGTTGTAGCTTGCGCACTTGCGTAAGGAATGTGCGCTGTGTCTATATACTTCGAAAAGGAGAGTGTTTAAGCCTTATTTGTTATACTTAGGATACCCCCTAACCGTGTACATTAGGACGAGGAAACAAAAGCCCCGCCAATTCAATGAATTTTGAGAAAGTTAATTTAAACATCACGTATTTATGTTTCCATCAGGTGATAGTGTTTCAAGCGTACAAGAACAATAGTTCATCACCCATAGAAGCTAAATATGTGTTTCCCCTGGATGACATGGCGGCAGGTATGTTTCTATTCACACAAGCTGCTCTTCTTAAACATCTCTGTTATAACTATCAAGGAAAAGCCTCATCAAAATTACGTTTTTGTATAAGACCATGAAGCCTGTAAGGATGTCTTCCTCCGAACTTTGGAACCCAGTCTTTTCAGACTGTTTGATAATTGATGTAAACTGTATTGTTCAACGACGTAACAGAACGGCCCGCCCGTTGTAAGTTTTTAGCCTCTTTAGAAAAAGCTAATAACAATACTTTTTTTCTGCAGTTTGTGGTTTCGAAGCTTTTATCAACGGTAAACACATCGTGGGTGAAGTGAAAGAAAAAGAACAAGCCCACAAGGAATATCGGGAAGCCATCAGTCAGGGGCATGGGGCCTACCTCATGGACGAAGAGACACCGGTATGTCACGTGTCATACTTGCTGATATTTCAACTCCTTGTTATTTACACTTTGAAAAAAAGATGCGACAGGTCAAGTGATTCTAATCTTTGTGGAACTGTTAGAAAACCATTTCTTGTGCAGGTTCTGCTTTCGTCAAAATAGTAGAGGGCAGGTAACTAGCTGGAAGAAAACTTCGACGAGGCCTGTCTATAAATTTTATAAAGGTGGTAGAATCAAATGCACTGTATTTGCTTTGCTAGTAAAAGGGGTAAATGTTTGGTTATTTGGCTTTTTTAGCACCTGCAATCTTCAATAGAGGTGAAAGCAAAGACTTTGATTGTGACCTCACAAATGATCATGAATTACCTGAGATACCAAGTATGAATGCTATTATCATCAGCAAAAGTAGAGACCCTGGGACCGCTAGTATACTTTTGTTTGCCCTACCCGGAAAAGATTGAAAATTGATGCAATATTGCATTTATATTAGCAACAAAAAAATTATTGCATCCTTTATAAGAATCCAACGTTTAACCCTACGTACTGCGATAAAACGCTTTATTCCCTGCAGTACGAGCAAGAAAGATCTTTTTGTGGTAGAAGATTCTTTTGTCACACTAATTATTTGTAAATAATCAGGATGTGTTCACGGTCAGCGTGGGAAATCTTCCTCCTGGAGCGCAAGTGTTGATCAAGATAACCTATGTTGCTGAGCTCCTGGTGGAGCGGGAACATATTTGCTTCTCACTTCCTGGCTCCGTGGCGCCATGGAAACGGAATAAGGCCCTAGAGGAGATCACCCAGGTAATAAGGCTTTGACACACACCTATTCTCCCGGGGAGGGGGGTATTCAAAAACGTTTAATACACACGGCGAGCCTCTGCTCCGAGGCCCAGCCCCTTAGTTACCCTTATATATACCATTTGATAGAAAAGGTGCCCCTTTCTCATACCTAGTTTAGAACTTTACATACCTTATTATTGCTGTAAATGCACTGCCTTTGAAATAGTAATAACCAAAATGTTTTCTCGACTTTTTTGCAGCCATAAAATGCATCTGTTAGCCCATCTGTATTTGTCGTTGTAGGGATTACCTCAGGGCCTTATGTCTGATATCATGTCGACTAAGTGGTGGAGACATTCACAAGTTTGCAAACATCAGAGCGTTTTTTTTTTTTTACTGTTTGGTCTTTTGCCTCCCTTAATTTTACAGGAGTTAATTTGATATTTTCATCCGCAACAGAGACGTTAACAAAACAGACAGTAAAAACTTAGAAATTAGATGAATAGCTTGTTATCAAAGTTTGCGTTGTAATGAATAGAGGTTCACTTATATTTTCCGGGTTTAATACTTTTTCTTTTCAACTCAGACTGATGTGGACACCGTACATATTGATGAGAAAGGATCGAGGTGAGTTTTGGAATAAACACAAATATGACTTGTTTTGCTAGTCTTCCAAGACGTTTGCAGTTACGTAAAAACTATTAATTTCCGTTTATTTACCCTTGGCAGTATGTATAGCACTAATGATACTGAGGCCGAGCAAATGCCTGAAACACATAATTTAAATCAAACATAATGGTATCAAGAATCCCAACTGGCCGGAGGCAAACCAGTTAGCTATTTACATTAGTGGTCGAAAAGTTGAACTCGGGACTAGCGAGACTTGAACGGGACTTGAACTTGAGACCTCCAAACTGCAAGTCCAACGCTCTAACCGCTCGGCCACACTGCCTCAACGCTGCCTTGACGTTCACCCCAGGCATACTCTTCATTTTGACGCCAGACCTTAGAGGTTACGTCTCACGTTAGGTTTTAACATGTAACTCTCCCCTGATTGAACGAGTGGTACATTTTCGTCTGTAAATACGTCAAGAAAAGGGAGTCGGCCATTTTCCCAGATGAATTGCAGTGCTATCTGAAAGATGCAAAGATGTTCAACATCGTCGTAGGAACTATAAGAACTCAAAGTCGCCATTGCAAATATTTACTATTACTATTTTTTGTCGTCTTTTCGTTTTAGTGATGTGTTAGATGTCTCGGTAGAAGTTTCTGTAGAGATGCCCTTTGACATCCGCACAATTGACTCTCCGTCACATTCAATTCGAATTAAGGTAAGTTCGAACTTTTTTTCGCTCTTATTGCGTGACAGTGAAGGATTATTAACCACAGAAAAAAGACTGGGTCGTGCTCCGAGTGCTAATTTGGCCGATGACGTATCGTCGGTATTGCGGTCACGTGAAATGTGTAATAATTACAATCAATCGCAATTGCATAGTCAATACAGTGTAAGAATGAAAATATTTACACTTCGAAAATGAGTGTGAAGGTTGGGCGCAAAATTTTAGACGTAAAAGCTTCATGCACTGATTTAAAACACTGCCCGAATTTGGCGTGGGTACTTGAAAACGGCGGGTTCACATTAGTCCTCAGCGGGTACCGTACTTAAGTACAATGCCCTGGCACCAAGTGTGAACAAAGCCCAAGTTTGCTGTTGCCATAGTGATAGTTTTATACCCTTGTGGCGTTCTTCTTGGTAGAGTGATTGGTAGTATTTGCCATTATGAAATTTACAACCCCGGAAACCAACGATTCACAAAAACTTCTTCTTCGTGTTATTATTTTTGTTTTTAAAATTCAAAACACTGAGGTGTTTACTAATCAGCTTATTTGGCTGTTTAACACAAGGGAGAGGATTTGTGTAATTTGATTGCAAAAGTTTGAGTCCCATTTTTAACTGAACTAGTTCTGATCAGTTTTTCTCTAATATCAAATAAAAACGTTTGTTTACCTTTGCGTGGCCGCATGTGGCCTTTCGTTGAAAATTTCGATTTTTGTTTTCTTTGTTCAACAATTAATAAGTATCCTATGCTGCATGACACAGCACGATGTACTTAAATAATTAAAGGTACGTGCTGCAACCGTTTGCCGCAAAGCAGGAAAGAATATCTTTTTGCCAAAGCTTAGTAGCTATCTGTTCTTTAGATAAGTAACGGTGTAAAATTGTCACAGTCTAATAAGTGCCCTTAGAGTATATATTTGGTCACAACACACATTAAAATTGACATAGATTTATACTTGTATAATACTCTCTACTTATATAGTACTCTGTTATGAGAGTGGAGTAGGTGACACTGTAGTGCTCAAAATATATTCCAATATCTTATAAACGTATTTTATTCATAAAAGAGTTTTGTTTATCGTTTGTCCCACGATAGTCTGTTAGTGATCAATTCACTGAATTTTTCTCTGTTTCTTTCTTGAAGCCTATACGGTTAAAAGAAGGGGTGAATAAATTTTATTTTTTGGTAAAGCAACGGAGATTTTCAACTGAATATATGCGGCTTGAAAAACTTCCATAATGATAACCATCTGCCTTGAAAAGAAAGTTGTCGAGTTGAACAAGGCCTATCGAATTAAACAAAGCCTCGAAATATTACTGTTTGATGTTTAAACTGCATTTTCAATTACCACTTGCTGACTTGATGCAATTTATGGCTAATATGAGAGAGTACTTTATTCAGACTAATTCCGTCCAGGTAATCTTTACATGTAACTTCAGTCAACGACAATCAAAAAATCAATTCTGTTTGGAACCGTTTTTATCGTCGATGCCAAGCAATGGAAAATATATCAGCTGTTGCAAAATCTTTGAATACGTCCTTCTCAGCATTGCTGTCTTTTTCTTCCCGAACAGAAGGAATAGCTTTGTGCAGCGCTTTCGTGATTGAAGCTGTTTTAATTGTCTTGGGGAACTTGCTAACAATTGTTCTTTTTGCATTGAAGAAGAGACTACGCAAGAAAAGTTTGTTTCTGGTTGTAAATATGGCGTTTGCAGATGTCATGTTAGGAGCTGTGTCCCTTCCCTTTTTTGTCTTCTTGGTCGTCGGTCTTCCATATCAATTATGAAGTATATCCAATGATTGTATTCGCCTTATGTGTCTGCAACATTGGTATTTGGCGAAAGTTTCAAAAGAGAAATGTCGCTTTTTCCCAGGAAAACAGAACTGTCCAAAACCAACGCCTGACTAAAACATTACTGTTCGTTTCCGCCGGCGCCGTGCTCTAATGGATTCCTTTTGTTACTCTATACCATTTAATCACGGTACACGAGGTCTTTTATCCATGAAAGTTTTTTATTTTGCCATCTTTCTTAATTATTCCAACTATTTTATGAACCCAATTGTGTATGCATTGTTAATCCCTGAATTCAGACAATCGTCGATTTTGTTCTGCTCAAAGCGTCAGGTTTTTTTCATTCAATGAATAGCGAATACAGAGAAGAGATATCGTCGTTTCTTATTTGAAGTCGGCAAATCCGCTGAGACCTTTTCACACGATCATTCACCGCTAGCATTCAAACAGGAATCTTCGGACACCAAATTGTGATATTTGGATGCTTTCTCACTATGTATACTGACCGTGAAGGCACTCAATGCTTGCGAGCATTTAGTTAAATGTGAATGTCATGAGGTAGAGGTAGCATTGTGCAGTGGTTCTTCAGCTACTATTCCTGATCAAATTGGAATTTGGAGATGTTGATTTTTGAGGAGAGGGGAAAACCGGAGTACCCAGAGAAAAACCTCTTGGAGTAAGGGAGAGAACCAACAACAAAACTCAATCCACAAATTGCGTCGGCGCCAGGATTTAAACCCGGGCTAGGTTGGTGGGTGACGAGTGCTCTCACCACTGTACCATCCCTTGCCTGCTCCCCAATTAAACTAACTTTGGGAACTAATTTTTGCGTTTACTTAAGACTGGTTTTTCTTGCAGAAAGTTGCGATTTTCCATTACTGTTGACCTGACGATTTTATTCCACGGTTGATTAATTTACAGCTATTTGCAAATATTTAAGTTGATCAAGTGCAAGTGACTGCCTAGGGAGTGTGCAGATTGGTTCTTTGACAACATTCTGACATGATCGTATTGCTTGCATAGACGATACAGCATGTCCCGGCAACAAAACAGCATTTTGATAAATGAGCATGCGCTGAACCTTGAGCCTGTCCCTTCAAGCCAGCGGCGCTTATGTCAGCATTCCTGTTTTTTGTTTATGGTTATTAACGACTACAAGTTTTCCACCTCAAACTGGAATGAACTATCTTTCTCTGTAATAATAAAATTCAGGATATGTCCTTAATAGCTGAATTTCAGGCGGTCGTCTATTCTGTATTAATCATTAGAAACTTTCTCTATTGTAGTGCGTAAATTGTTGTCCCGGGGTTTTTTTCTTAGTACTTACTTTTGCCAGGTCTTACTAAATTCGTTTATTTTGCCTGTAGCAGCTTGTTGATGGTTTTTGATACTGTTTTTCGTGCATGTTTCTTGACTCTTCTCGGCAGTTACTACGTGCTTGCTCTTGTGTGTGAGATGACTAAAGGTTGCTGGATTAATTTGCTATGCTATTCTGATAACCAAAAAAAACTTGATGGCGCGCCAAGAATTCCCCGTCGCCTTGTCAATTTACTGAGGTCCGTTTTAAATGTCAATCTTCACATTGCTGATTGTGGTGCTAATAAAGGAAATCTATTCTTCTCAATCTATTGCATCCGACTCAGCACATGTGAAGATGAATATTTAAAACAGGCCTCAGAACTGAAGTTTAGCATTATCGATTATCAGAAAGGTTTGAATTCCGTCATCTAATTAGTGTAAGGTATTTTTTTGGCATTACGGGTGACATCAGATCCCAACTTCGGTTCACGTCGCATAACTGCTTCATTAAAAAAAAAAACTTAGATAGTTTAATCCTGCTTTTTTTCGTTTTACTTCAATATCCTTTTGTGTGACACAACCTTAGCCACATTCACACATTTGAGACTTTCGGATGTCAACCGTTTTCAAAATACTCCCTTCCCCCGCCCCCCAACCCCACCACTACAAAAAATGTGCATGTGTTCAAGAAAAAACTTATGGCCACTTTAGTTTTGCCAAGGTTTGATTACCGTAACGGTTACAGCTGTTGATGCTTATCAAAAAAGGTACATATTTGAACACAATTTTAGATACCAGTTATTTGGCTGTTCCTTCTTGATTGGTTAAAATGGATCTTGGTGTGCAATATATGCCAACACTAAAGATATATCCGTATATCATGTTTACATCTAATGTTTGCTTCAGTTTTTCTGCGAAAAACCTCGAAGGAAACTGTAATAAATATAACTCGTTTCGGGTGTTAAACGAGTGTGATTACGGAAATGTTTGGAGTTGCAGACTTTTTATGTCGATATTTGGACTTAAAGGCACCCGGAATCTCCCACCGGCAGTATTTTAGAGTTTTCTACAGCGAGAAATCTTTATATTGGGCAACAAGCCCTAAAAATTTAAAACGGTGACTTGTCATTAATATTAAACTTCAGAATTTATTGGCGGTCGAAGTTTGTCACAATAACTCTTCCTGCCGCATCGGTCATTACAAACACTACGCCTGTACCATTTCATCATCGACTCGGTTAAGCTCCAAGCAATGGAAAATACATCAGCAAACTTTACCAATACGTCATGGTCAGCTATGTTTTCCCCTTCTTTTCGTGCTGAAGGAATAGCGTTGTGTAGCGCTTTTATGCTTGAGGCGGTCTTAATCGTCAGTGGGAACTTGCTCACAATTGTTCTCTTTGCCCTGGAGAAGACTCTTCGCAAGAAAAGTTTGTTTTTGGTTGTCAATATGGCGTTCGCAGATATGATGTTAGGGGCTGTATCCGTGCCTTTGTATATTTACCTAGGTATCGGTTTTCATTATCAGCTATGGAACATCGCCTATGATCATCAAGTACTGTTGTATTTTTTCCTCCACTTCGATAACACTTTCTTGCAGGCCTCTCTAATCTCAGCAGTTTTTATATCCTGTGAAAGATTTTATGCAGTATACTGGCCACTCAAGCATCGGACATTATCTATGAGCGCGTATGCCATTGCTATTACTATAATCTGGACACTAGCTATCATTGCGACTTCCCTCTACACCATCATAAACACATTCATTTCCTTGAAAGCTTCTGACCTTGCTTGGGCAATGGTAATTTTGATTTATTTGTTCATCTTATGTGGCTGTAACGTTGGTATATGGAGAAAATTTCAACAGAGAAATAACGCTTTTTATCAGCAAAACAGAGACTCCCAAAATCAACACCTGACTAAAACCTTGCTGTCTGTGTCAGCCGCGGCAGTGATTTTGTTTCTTCCTCATGTGGCTCTACATTACTTAACCTCTGTTTGCGAGCACTCTATTTCCTTTAAGTTCTTTCATATTACAGTCTTTCTTAATTATTCCAACTCTTTTGTCAATCCAGTTGTGTATGTATTAAAAATCCCTGAGTTTAGACAAACGGTGAATTTCTGTTGTTCAAGATGTCAGACTGCGTATTTAAACAAAGGCATAGAGGGAAGAGATAACATCGTTCTGAATCTGACGTCGGCAACACAGCTAGGAAAAACACAAACTGATGCTAAATACAGTCTTCAGCTGACTTTCGATCAAGACTCTATGGACACCAAATTGTGACAAGCTATTGGTTTATACTGTACTGATGCAGTATACAGTCAGTCTTACTGAATCAAAACGTCTTCCAAAAAAGTATTTACGGTTATCTGCTCTCTGAAGTATGGGTGAACAATACTTGCCTATAAGAGGCAGAAACTAGCGCCAAAAGTCGCCTTTTCGGGCCCTGATAAGGAAGCCTAAGGCAACCACCAGATAGTTAACTAAAAACGTTAATAAAGGTGAATTTATGTTGTTTCAAACTTAATCGCGTTTGTTCAGGGTCACTCAGTTTGTCAAATATCAGCGAATTTTCATTTACCGTAAATGACCTAATAGACACCCACTCCCAAATAAACGCCTCTTATCTAATAAAAGCTCCCTCAGTCTACGCTGTTAAAATTGTGGTAGACGCACACCCCTCTCTTGTAAACACGCCCTGTCTAATAGCTAATAGACGCCCCCTTTGAGAATTACTCCAAAATACCCGGACCAGCAAAAAGGAGCGAAAGCATTCAATTCATTCAGTTCTTGCTTGATTAAGAAGAGATTATTTCATCTTGTTCAATATCAAGTTCAAAGTTACGATAAACTAACGATTGCAACACAATAACCCTGAGCGAGGATTCTGACATCGGCTGATGGGCTGGGATTTGAAAGAGCGATATGATGTCTTTACCGAAAGCATATTAATTTTGTTGAGCTTGTTACAGTTATGAGAATAAACGCCTCCTATCTATTAAACGCCCTCACTTGGACCCCTAAGTGAGAATCGTTGTTGTGTAACAGAAATATAAGAGTTTGTATGGGGATTTTAGCAATCATTATTTAGGGGTCAAAAATGGCAATAAAAATTCATCTGCACTTTTTACCTTGCGTCCTTATTTTATTTATGGTGTGTTGTTAGCCTTTTAGGCCGTTTGAAGAACACACCATAAATTTAAACAAAAAGGCAAGGTAAGAAATTCTTATTTTCCTTTTATTACTATTTTTGACCCCTAAATAACGATCGCTAAAATCTCCTTAAAAACCCTTATAATATTTGTTACACAAAAAGGATTATCACTCGTGAGCTTGGGGTACCCAGGGAGGAACGAGCGCAGAAATCTCATGTTGATGGCGTTTTAGTACCCAGATCTGGTTAGTGCTTCTGATTGGTCGTGACGCGAGGGAAATTTGTTTCAACCAATCAAAGCACTACACAGATCTGGAAAGTGACACGTCATCAGCACGGAATTTCTGCAGTCGTTACAAACATTCTTCTGGGCCGTTGCTCTAATCTAAACCCACTCCTCCTAGGGCCCATTATTAACCGTTCTTGTTCATCGATCTCTTTATCCAGCGGACAGCCACCAAAGCAGTAGTTTCACTGGAGCATGGTCAGTCATTGGAAGACGGCTTCCAGCTTCTGATTGGTCTAGCAGAGATTCATGTTCCCCGGATGTGGGTGGAGCGACATATCAGTAAACCAGACAGTCAGGTCAGTTTATGATTGATGTGAATGAAATCATTTTGTTTTTTTTAAACGAAAAATTTTCATGTGTCAAAGTTGATCGGTGACTTAAAGACCCGGTATTTTTTCCCCTCTGGAAATGACGGAGGTGCTTGTCCTATTTTTAATATATATATCTAGCCGGATTTGTCATAACGTTATCGCCAAATGGACCTTTTGCGTTCTCCAAAGTCACGGTTGCTATTATAAAAACTAAGAGTGCAACCATTGCTTTTTTCTCTTCTCCTCCTTTCCTTCCCCTCTCTTTCTCTCTTTATTTTTTTCTCCTTTCCTTTTCCTTTGTTACTGTGATTTTGGAGCTTCTCGGGCTTAAGGAACCTGCCTTTTGACGCCTTTTAACTCAAATGACTGCAAATTTCGTTAGGTTGGTTTTCAAAAATCGGCTATATATATATATATATTTTTTATTTTTATATATTTGTTTTTCGGCCGGGGGGGGCGGGGGAGGCTGAAAATTTGTAGGTCCGAAATTAAGCAAGTGACACACATCGGCACTGACCCATAGCCTGGTCAGTACCTTACCATGCGCACAGCCATATCACCAAGCAAGCCAAAAAAGGATAGGAATTGAGCGACAGTAAACTTGAATAAGCGGCTGGTCTGGCCAGCCGAGATATTGTCTGAAAAATACACATTGTTTCAACTTTACAGTCCTCTTTGAATTCTTGTTTCTTTATTTCAAATATCTTAGCTGATTAAACCAATCCTAAGAACCAAAGTTGACAACCAGCAGGATGTTCGTCTACGGTTTTCGCAGATGATTTCTTTTCAGAACTGGCGTTGTTTTACTGAGGGGTGAAGAGTGAATTTGACCATGCCCACAAAACGAGATTCTGGTTCCTCTCACAGCTCTTTTTTTAAACCTTTTCCGACGAGCAGCCCCGTTATTTTTATAGTCCCCCAGGAAAGGATAAGCATGCGTTGTTGACCATGCGTGGGGTCAAGATGGCTGGAATTTGACCAAATTCCTTTTGTTTAGTTTAAGGACCGAAACGAGGTCGACGTTCAATAAACGCAAAAAAAAACAACAACAACAACAACAACAATAACAGAGCAAAAATTCAGCCTCTTTGACCGAAGGAGCCTGGTCATTTCTAACGTGGCATGAACAAAATCTTTGCTTGTCTGCGGAACAAAACGAGCGATCCCGAACGATCGAGATAGGTCCGTTCGGATAGCCATCCATATAATAAAAGATTTAGATTGCACTTGCAAAGTGGAGACATTTTTAAAGCTAACCATGAATAAAGTAATTTCTCTAAAGTATCAGTGTGTATTTAACACATTAGCTAATAGGCCTCTACCGTTGTCGGACTGTTCTTAGGCTTGTATGCTGACTTTCTACCCGGAATTTGAGGCTGAAATCCCTCGGGAAGTCGAAGTGTTATTCTTGCTTGACCTCTCTTGTTCAATGAAGGTGAGTCATATTATGATGATGATGATGATGATGATGATGATGATGATGATGATGAATATACTCTATCGGTAGCCCATAACCCGGAGCAAGAAACTCCTATACTCGTCCTATGTCACGGCATTTTTACGGACCGGTTTGTTTTTAGATACATTTAAGGACACTTTTTCCCGCGAAAATAGAATCTCTTATGAGCGCATTCGAACTATAAGATACCAAAAGGAACACTAAGCGTTATTAAAAGGCAAAAAATATCATTTTTAGGTCAGTAGGTTTTGCTGACTGGTTTTTGGAATTTAAAAGATATCCAAAATTTGCGCCAAACCGTTCTAAAAATAAACTGTTCCGTGATAACGACGTGACACGAGCGCATGGAAGTTGCTCGCTCCTAATTATGGGCTCCTGAGTCTAAGTATTCAACTGGTAGCCAGTTCCTGTTACAGATCACATTCTGCAACCTTACTAGTGAAGAGCCCGTCGGAGGATTCGTGCTGTTCCTAATAGGGTAGTCTTTTGAATCTTGGCCAAATAAAGATTCATCCCTATGCTTTCAAGATGGCCAACTAATCCTTTTGGGATTGTCCCAAGTGCCCCGATAACAGTAGGCACCACTCTTGATTTGATTATGATTATGATTATTATGATTATTATCATTATCATTATTATAAACGAAATGCTTTAGCTCTGGTAGATGTTGTACCGACATTACGCCAAAGTTTGCTTTATGTGAAGATACACTTCTTTAATCACTCAATAGTGATCGCTTTATTTCCAATTGTGATTTCTCTTAGGGCCCACCCCTTGAAGACGCAAAAAAGATTTTGTTGATGTGCCTGAGTCTCATGAACAAGGACTGGATATTTAACATACTTGTGTTTGGAAGCAGTAAGTGATTACTTGTTCCTGGGAGCTGAACACCTGAAGCAAACCATCAATATACTGACTACAGTAACGTATTTTGTCGATGTTATTACTTCTAGCTTGGCCTGGTGGACAAAACATTAATTGAAACTGCAGTTATTTCGGGCTCTATCTGGCTCTGATAAGAAGGGCTTTTTAATCGCAATTCTTGGCAGCCGTGTGTCTCGTTCTTGTAGTTAAAAATCATTATGCCACAAGTAAATGCTTGAGGCCCTTATTTAAAACAACTACTTGTGCTTTTAGACAAAATCTTAATCCTTGACAAAAAAAGTACGGTATGCGTCCCACAGTATATGCTGTTGTTACGTATATGGCTTGGCTCGCCAAATTTATATCCGTGCAAGTCATAGTTACACAGTAGCAGGAGCAAAAATTTATCATAGCTCGCCTAATGTAAGGGAATCAAGGGCAGTCTTGGATTCTGGATTCCACGTTGTGGATTCCAGACTCCACATACTGGATTCCGGTTTTCGTCAGTGGAATGGAATTCTGGATTGCAATCGTTAGTGAGATTCCGGATTCCTTGAGCTGTATTCCAGATTCCACAACTGGAGAGCAACGATTTCCCGGATTCTGTATTCCACAAGCAAAAATTTCCTTCGTTCCTGAACCCGGATTCCATTAAATGGGGCGATGTAGCTGTCAGTGGAGTGCCCCACCGCTTTAACTTCTCCTGCACTGCTTTGCTTCTTTCGGGAGGTGGAGGTGGGGGGTGGGTACCACCATATGAAAGAGACAATGCAAGGATGACAGGCGGAAATAAAGCAGCCCAATCTGAGCTTGGCTCTGGTTTTGTTTCACCCCTAAAAGAGACCATACTTCAACAAAGTATGAAGGCATTTCTTAATATTGTATTGAAACTTCTTTACGCACGGGTAAATGTATTATCTTTCTGTCCCGCCGATTAACCTAAATGGAATTTTTACAGGAGCCTATAATTTTTATCATAGTTTATAGAGGAACAAAGGAGGCGTAATTAAATCGAGCTACAGGGTCTTCTGACGGGTATTTTCTAAATAAACATCGGGCAATGTCCAAAAACCACTCCATCCTTCAATCTAAAGTCCATTCCAGCACAGCTAACAATTTTTCGGTCAGTGTATCAGCCTTTGAACCATGGGAGCATAACGTGGCCACGTAACGCAGACCATTTGTTTTGTTGATTTTTCTTTCTTT